AAATACAATAACCATTTAATCACATAAATTCGATAGCCACTCGCTTCGACTCACATCCACATTCGTTTTTGTACTTCTCAAAACATGTGCTTCCCGCCCAAAAGTTAACCCGATTTTAGGGTGGGCCCACGCAAGTTACCAACACATATACAGTCGTTATCATTAAGGTTGTCCATGTTAATATATATACAAATATATAAATATCAATCACGTGACCATTACACATGGGTTATTTCGTTCACTTTTAAAGAACAAGAGTTCTTTATTGATAAAGAACAATGCAAACAAATGCGAGGTGAAAACTGCATAAAATTATAATGTAAGACTAACCAGGTTAAGCCTTTCTTGTGTGGGCGTTTTACCTCGCCTAGCCAGGATAACTCGCTCGTTTTTCCGTAACTGGCAACAAACCTCTTGCTCTTTTTCGAATGGGTCTGTGTTTGATCTCTGGGCTCTACAAATGACCGCAGTTATTAGAATATACATGCATGGTTTGGAGACTAGATGGAAGTACAATACAACATCTATTTATTGTCCAGGTTTATGCAAAAAATGGTTCCTTATCCGTCACATGTCTATTGTATTTTTGCCCAACTAACCAATAGCAAAGGCTTAGCTTAGCTCCTCAACCGTGACTTGAACAACATGTTAATTCAGATCTTACTATTGGTTTATTTGTTCAAAATACAATAGACACGTGACGAATAAGGAATAATTTTTTGCATAAATGTTCCCCGACAATCATGCAGTTTTATTGTACTTTTAGTTTTATGTAGTTTCTAAACAATGTATATTCCATAACTGTGACTGAAATGACGGAGGAGTAAATCGCTACAATCATCCCTTGATAATTCGTATCAGGACAGGTTCTTTATGTCGTTTCTAATAGTCTGAACTTTGAAGAATAGTTATAAACGCGGGTTACAGCGATTCCGTATCATAAGCATTTTGAAACATTCAATTTTCACGTTTTGACTAAACTATTATAGTCATCATCAGGAAAACTGCATGAGTCTGAGAAGTTTGGATCAATTTGAGAACATTAAATTTGATGTGTCCACGTATGAATAAGGTCATTACAAATCCCCCAAATTTGTTCCCTAAAATAACTTGCCGAAATAGGAAAATAATATGTTTTAATAATGTTATCTAGAAAAACAACCTTAGAGAGTTTTTCTTAGTATCGAATGCGTTGATTCGGTAAAAAGGAGCAACAAATTCAGTCAGCTTCATCAGGTTGTTTTCATGAAGGAGCGAACCCGAACGGAGGACCTATATTACGTTGCTACAGCTAATTTAGTTGAACATCTTTGCATCAAATTCCATCCTCGTCTGGGATATTGTTTAATTGCTTTTTTTCACAGTCAATGAACACCAAAAATATTAGCATAGCGGGACAAATCATCAGGCTGACTACTCTACTCATGCAATTTCGTGCTACGTCATGTATCATTATTATTTATATAATAACGTTAAGAATTCAAGAAATTTCATTGGTCGAGATAATATCTATAATCTGTAAGAGGACAGACCACAGACGCACGGAATGACCTCACAGATAATTTTAACGAATTTAATCAGTAATCTCTTGTTTCATTTTGTTAGCTAATCTCATTTTAACATGTGTCTTAACTCTTAAGCTAGCCATGCAATAGCATTTCTTCAATCTTATAGATCACGCGTGATATCTGCAAAATTTCTACTTTGACACTGTTCCAAGTGTTGGGGAAACTATTTGACTGTTTAATTTCGGAATTTTTTCGATTTCATTATATAACACAAATAGATAACATTGAATTTGTGATAAGAACAATAGTAGTCACGAGCCGCCGTTTTACTTCAAGAATGTAGAGCGGAAACAGATATTGTTTATTTGCGAAGAATATATAATGAAGAATTTCTTTCAACTAAAATAAACTTGCATGTAGTATAAAATTAATGATAAAAGATACCCTTTATCATCTTTGACTTTGTTTACTGATTTTCTCACAATTTAGTTTCTACATTTTTTTATTTTCTTTCAAGAATTTTATTCAAATGAATTCGTCAAAAAAACACAACAACTGGCTAACCGTTGGAGAAATAATCCGATTGATTAAGGGACCCGTCGCATTATACACCAGCAATATCATAGAAAAATGGCATGCAAAGCTGTGTGGTTCTTTGCCAGGCAAATGCTTAAACCCTGGAGATTGTGAAAAGAAAAAGAAACCGCCTGGCCTGTGTTCCTCTTGCAAGCAATGGTACGACGAGCTTGCCAAATCCCACCGGAGAAACGATAAAGGGCAATTTAAAAGCATGTGGCGCCAAAACTGCGACACATCAAAGTGGCCGAATGATCCTTGGGAGGTTGCCAAGTTCTTTATGCCCAGCCTTGGGGACAACAAAAAAAACGTTGAAGACGCCGAATCCACTGATTTATCATCTCTTCTGAACGTCCTTGCATGGACGGAAGATGCGGTCTTTACCCCAGACAGACGTGTTGATCGTAACCTCGTTGAGGACCTTCGTTCAAAGGTTAGAAACCCTTGGGCGCATGAACCTAATCAAGACCTAGACGAATCCACTCTTAACGATGCTTTTTGTATTGCTGATAAATTTGTTGCCGACCTCGACATGGTTTTCAGTCGTGAAGAAGTCAAGAATTGTATAGAGGATATCAAAGCTTTGAGAGAAAACAGACAAACCAAAGTCACAGAAAACGAGTTGAAGAATCTAAATTTGCGTGAGTTACGTGGAGACGACAGTCAGAAAAAAGGAGAGATGGAAAGTTTGAAAGAAGAATTAAAGAGTTTAAACGATAACGAAAGTCCTAATTTACAGGTTATCAAGGAACAAGAGGAAAAAATTAAAAAATTGGAGAAGGACTATAGGTCATTACAAGATCTCATGAAATCATTACAAGATACGGACAACGTTGAAGGAGCGAATCAACCGTGCCAACTAAAGAGCTGTATTCCTGACAAACCAGAAATTTTCATTGGTCGCGACGCTGTTGTAAAGGAATTAATATCTTCTTTGGTAGATAATGGCTGTGGAATTGTGTGTATCGTTGGTGGGCCAGGTTTTGGAAAGAGCACCGTTGCAAAAGAAGTTTCCCATAATTTAAGCACAAACCATGATATTATCGTAATTTTCTCATATTTGCAAAATATGTCAGCTGTATCCGATGTGACACGATGTCTCTGCCATGACGTCGGCGTTACCCCCGGACAAGATCCTGAATCATCGTTGATGTCGCGGTTGAGGGATATTGAGCAGAAGGTCGTCCTTGTCATGGACAACATCGAGCAGCTGCTGGAAAGCGGCGATAAATCCCAGTTTATTGAATTAGTGCTTACTCTACGCAAAAATTCACAGCAACGTGTGCAGATACTAGCAACGTCAAGAACCGAATTTTTAATTCCTGGACAAAAATCCGTAAACCATCAAATAAAAGAATTGGATGAAAAATCAAGTGTCGAACTTTTGAAAGAGTGTTGCCAAAATGATGAAATTGAAGACACGTACTTTTCTGAGTTGGCTAAACTGTGTGGCTTCCTTCCTCTCGCTTTGTGTCTCGCAGGAAAACGAATTCAAGATCTTAATGACCCTATGAAGTTAACAAAATGGTTACGAAAGAAGCCCATGAAAACGTTGAAGCCTGTTCAACAAGCCTTTGAGTTTTCTTTTCAGATGTTGAATGGTGAAGATAAAAAAGCTTTGGTTTGTCTTTCAGTATTTGATGGAAATTTCCAAATGAAATCTGCAAAGAAGATAATTGGTCGAATTGGTTTGCAAACCATCGATTTTTTGAAAGATCTTGTTGGTCGAAGTTTAATACAAAATACCAGTGATAAGCGATTTGTGATCCATTCGCTCATCCGGCGGTTCCTGTCTGATAATGTGCAGTTTTATGATGAAAAGGCAGTGGCTCAAGGATTTATGGTGAGTCATTTCCTGAAGATGTGCCATTCATTGACCTTAAAGTGTTATTCATATAACGGATTCACTGGCGCCAGAGAATTATTAAAAAAAGACATCCACAATGTCAAGGAAACGTTAGAAATTTGCAGCCAAGATTGGGCCAGCAATCAAAACCCGAACATCACCAAGTCCTTGGCAAATAGTGACATCTACCTGTCTTCGTGCACGTTCTTTTACAACTTCAGTCGGGATCTTCTTCCAAGTAGAATTTTCAAGAATTTCTTCGAATCTTGCATTGAATTTGCCCAAAGTCGGAATCAACCTGTCATCATGGTAATATTTCAATTTTTGATGGCAGATCAAGAAGCTCGTAAGTCTTCATGGGAATCTCCAAATATACCACAAGAATTGAAAGTGTTACGGAGCCTTTTTTTAAGAATAAAGCGCTGCTGAAAGAATATCGATCTCAATATATGTTTTGCTACCATTTACTTGCCCGATATTACATTAAAACACAAGATAGCCGACTTTCCGGTCTAACGGAAGATGATCTTCCTCCGTTGCCTGAAAACACAGAACTGAGCTCTATGGAGAAATCGTCCGAGGCTCAAATTCTCATGAAGCGTGGAAATTTAAGCAAAATGCGAGCAGATAAAACACCGAAAGAAGATCATGAAACGAAGAATAAATACAGGAGCTTTGCAGAATCTTGTTACAATCAAGCTTTATCTCTTGCCAAGGAGGTTTTGGGAGATCACCAATTAACCTGCACTCTCCATAAGCTTATAGGAGACCTATGTTTTAAGAACGACGGAGCAGTGACACATTATACTAATGCCATAAATGTGCACAGGAAACTGAAATTTGATTCTAACGAGAAATTTGTGATATTGCTCAAGAATCTCGGAGCGTCCCTGGCGTATAATGGTCGCTACGAAAAATCAGTGGAAACGCTAAAGGAAGCTCTTATTATAGCTGAGTAACTCGTTGAGAGAAACACCCCATGCAAAGCCCAGGTGTGTTGCGAGTTAGCTAGAACTTACAGAGACTTGGAGCCTGATTGCTAAGAAGCTGCAATACATGCCAAAGAGGCGATGAAGATGCAGACGTTTCTCCACTTCCAGGACAGAAAAAGGTTGGAAAAAATTATAAAATCGGCAGAGGAATATACTGTGATGCTAAAGATTATCGAGCCGTTTAAAGATAAAGTCGATGTTCATGTAACGACTCGAATAGAAAGCTGCATACCCAGAAAACCACAAACATTTCTTGGCCGAGACGCTGAAGTCAACCGAATAACTACTTCCTTGATGAAGAATAACTGCGGAATTGTCTCCATTGTCGGTGAACCAGGTTTTGGCAAGAGCACGGTTGCCATTGAAGTTTCTCATCACATAAGCCAAAGTACTGTCGTCATTTATTCGTTCCTGTCAAATACTTCAACTGTTTCTGAGGTGATCGTACGTCTCTGTCATGACGTTGGCATTGTTCCTGGAGAAGACCCTGAATCATCGTTATTGTCTTGGTTGAAAAGCATTGAAAAGAAAGTTGTTCTTGTTATGGATAACGTCCAGCAGCTGCTTGGAAGCGATGTGAAACCTCAGTTCATTGAATTACTGCTTACGCTGCGCAAAAAATCACCTGAATATTTGCAGATCCTAACAACATCCAGAACAGAATTCCAAATCCCTGGGCAAACCGTAGTAAACCACCAACTACAAGTGTTGGATGTCAAATCTAGTATTGAACTTTTGAGAAAGTGTTGCGCTGATGAAAAAATTGAAGATATACGTTTGTCTGAATTGGCTAACCTGTGTGGCTTTGTTCCTCTCGCCCTGTGTGTGGCAGGAACACTGATTCCTAACCTCGATGATCCTTCAGAGTTGGTACAGTGGTTAAGAGAGAATCCTATTGAAGCATCGAGCGACTCCAAACAGTGTGTTCTTCAAAAAGTCATCGAGTTCTCGTTTCAGAAGTTAAGTGATGACGATAAGAAAGCGTTGGTTTGTCTTTCGGTGTTTGATGGGAATTTTGAGACAATTCATGCAAAAAAGGTAATTGAAAGAAGTACTAAGTTAGAAACCCTCGAATTTTTGAAAAATCTAGTTTGTCGAGGTTTAATACAAGGTACTGATGATACGAACTTTGTGATTCATCCCTTCGTCAGACGGTTCTTGGCTGATCATGACCACTTTCAATTTGAAAAGGCAATAGCTCAGGGATTGATGGTGAAACATTTTCTAACGATGTGCCATTCGTTAACCAGGATTATTATTCACACAACGGATTTACTAAAGCCAGAGAATCGCTGAAAAGGAACATTCACAATGTTGAGAAAACGTTAAAAATCTGTACCCAAGATCAGACCACCATGTTGAAACCAAACATCCTCGAACTGTTGGCAAGTAGTGAGATTTACAAGTCTTCATCCAGCTTCTTTTACTACTTCAGCTTGGACTTTGTCTCACGAACGGTTTTAAGAAATTTCTTTGAGTCTTGTATTAAACTAGCTGAAAGCCGGGAACAACCAGCGATTGAGATCACATTCCATTGTCTGCTAGCAGAACAAGAGGGTCGTAAATCAGCGCGGAAATCTGCTGAATACATCGAGAGAGAGAAAAGAATAAAGGCAGCATTTCAGCAGAATAAAGACGTTTTGAAAGACGAGAAGTCTTTAGACATGTTTTGTAACTATTTCTTAGCTGACTCTGACATCGGCAGAACAATAAATGCACGCTGTTCTGATCTTCTAAAAGATCATCCTCTGCATTCACCTGATGGCAAAGAACCAAGTAATATCGAGAAAGTGGCCAAGGCGCATATGCTGATAAACCTTGGAAAGCTGAAAAAGAGCCGTGCTAAAAAAGCGTTTGACAAAGACAAAGACAAAGACAAAGAAAGATACAATGAACACATGAACTGCGCGAAATTATTTTACAGCAAAGCTTTGTCGTTGGTCAAAGAGCTTTTGGGCCAGCACAAACTAACATACAATCTCTATACATTATTAGGAGACTTATATTCAAATTTGAATAAGAATGAAGAAGCACTGACGTATTACACCAATGCTATAAGTTTACGGAAAGAACTGAATCTTGTTTCCGATGAGATGTTTGTGTTCTTGGTCAAGAATTGTGGGGCTTGCCTTGCTTCTTTTCGTCGCTTTGATGAATCAATTAAAATGCTGCTGGAAGCACGTGACCTAGCTAACAAGCTTTCGGAGAAACACCGCTCTTGTAGAACCTCGGTGTATTGGGAATTAGCAAACACGTGTCGCCAATCGCAACCTTCCAGATTTACAAAATAATGAGTTGAGCAAATGATGATTTAGTTGAAATTTTGACTGACATACTTTTAAAGTGCAAGAGACGACCACTGAGAAATTAAACAGTAGCTAATATATTACTTGATATTGAAGTTCACATGTGAATGCTCTTTTTGAAACCTGTGACAATCCTCTTCACCTGTGACGATTGTGTCAGATGAGTTCCACGTGTGTCAAAAGACTTTCAAACGTGATATGAACATTTTTTGATAATTTATAATTCATACTTGTTTATAGTTTTTTATTTTTAGGCGTGTCTGATACGCGAGATGTAGAATAGGAATGTATTCCAACAATAATCCAGGCACTGTTGACCCTCAATCTTAAACAAAAATATACTGTGAACTGAAGTGTTGCGTAAGTAGGAGGTATTGGGTAAAACCTGATTTCAATAAAACAACATATATTCTGCTCAAGCTACCGAATGCTGCAGCCTATATCTGTTTCCACTTATACAATCGCTTTAGCGTTTACTTGTAAAATATAAACAAGAGCACCACCTTGTAGTTGTTGAGGGCGAAGATTTAGAACTTCCTACTATATCAAGAAACTCTGTTATAAGAAAGCTTTATCAGATTAATGTCAACAAATGTTCAGGTCCCTTTGACCCGCCACCAAAAGTAATATAAGAAGGTTCGCGGAAGAATTTGCAATCTCTCTCACGGACATATAATTAACTCTTTTTCGTGATAAACGTTTTGTCGAGATCTGTGAAGCTTATAACATGTCGAATCCCGAAATCAAAATCTTGTACTGATATTGAGAGCGTATAAGACCTATAGCGATCTCAAGCATTCTCTCTAAAATACAAGAGAGCTACGCTCTAGAATGGATGCTGGACGATGTTTAATATAATTTTAGCGAAAAACAATTTGGAAGAATCCCTGGATCCTCCCTGGTATTGGCACTATTCGAAATGCTACATAACTGGTATGCAGCTATGGAAAATCCTGATACTGTGATTCGTGCCATATTTCTAGATTTTACTAAAGCGTTCGACCTTATTGATCATAATATTCTTCTATCTGATTTGCAAAAATTGGGTGTAAGGCCTGCTTTGTTGCCCTGGTTAGCGTCGTATCTTTCTCCACGTAAACAAAGAGTTAAGTTTGATGGTAAATGTCCAATTTTCGCAATTTTCGCAAGCTGGCGTACCACAAGGGAGTAGATTGGTCCGCTTTCCTTTATTGATAAGATTAATCGTCTACCTGATTTTGCAGTGACTGATGACTTTTGAAAATGTTCTAAAACGTGTTAAAATGCTAAAAATGATTCAAAATATTTTCTGAGACTAATCTCTCTTGTTTTTGAGCATATTTAGTTGATCTTTAGAACACTGAGAAAGACAAAAAGTCGTAGGCTTCAAAAGTACTTAAAAATTGAAAAAAAAACACAAGTCAAAAAATAATTTAAAAACCTGTGTCTCCTGAAAAGACTGAAAATAAAAAGTCCGGAAAAAACTTGAAAAATAGAAAAATGTCCCCCTTTTAAAAAGCTCACCTTCACTTGCTCACCTTCAAATCTGACAGGTTGGTTTTCTCGAGACTGAGACAACGTTTACACTACTCCGGAGCGAAAAGGTGACGGCAGAATTTGACTGCGTTTAACTTGTCCGTTTGAATTCCGGCGCGGTTTCGCGGGCGTTTACACATAATCGTCGCTCACCGTCAACATTCGTCAAACAGGTTCTACTTGGACAAGTCCAATCGCTTCGCTTCTTTCGATTTTGTTTTTTTAGTCGTAGTCCCATAGACTTGTCTAACAAAAACGTAATAATGTCGCTCGAGCATTCCTCGAGCATTTTTTGGGACAACATTGCCATACTTCCCAAAATTGCGACAGAAACTGTCATCAAAAGTTTTCCAAAGCGGTTTGAATTACGCGCCACAGCGTGGGACGCATCGAATCCAGGGACTGGTAATTAAAGGGTAGCGCAACGTAGCGCTCCGCCGGTTTTTGTTCGACAACATTTAGAAAGTGTGGTCGTGTCGCTGCGGCAAAGGTGACGTTTTCGAACAAATTCGCGCTTGATACTTTTTTTGCATCGTTTTCAGACCGATCCGGAGTAGTGTAAACGCAGTGTAAAAAAATTTACATTTTTTCACTTTTTGAAATTTTCTTAAATTAAAAAATTACGAAATTTCAGCGATTTTAAAAGGAAAGTTGTCGAAAGGGTTGTGGAAGCATTGTAATTTAGGAAGGTGGTATATTTTCCAATTACAATTTTGTTTATTTTTAATTTTCTATGTCCTTTTCTATGTCATTTGACCGAGTTTTATTCAATTTTCAACTTATGTTGCAACATCGGTACCATAGTCGATCAGTGAAGGCTTCCTCTCTCATGAAATGATTCGACGCGTCGGATACTAGCTGTGTTTGGTGAGTGTTTGGATTTAAAATTAAATTATTGTAACTACAGTTTATTCACAACAGCTCGCCATATGATATGATAAAGAGTCACTCCTCGTTATAACATATTATTTACTGGGGCATGCACACAGTGTATACAAAAATTATGTGTTTATATTTCTAAACAGTACTAGACTTTAATACCAGGTTTCGTGCACCCATGTTTCGTTCACTTTGTTCTTTCCTTTACGTTCAAAAAGTTGAATAAATACAATCAATAAAAGTGTTAATGATAACCAATAAAAGATCTACTACAGTAAACTCCAAATTTTGAAATAGACTCAGGTGTGGGAGAACTTCATGCTGAAATTCCTAATTCCTTTGCATATGAAATTTATTGCAAAAGAATTTTTAACTGTCAAGAATCGCAGGGGTTTTAAAACTAGACTCAGGGGTATCCATTTTGCAACTTCTCTAGGGTTAGCATACTGCAGCACTTGGATTTCTCAGGAATATGCATTTTCTGGAGTTGAAATGCTTAGTGTTAGGAATGGAATTCTATAAAGATAATAGTACTGAGGCTGGTATCCTTAATAAAGACAGGAATTATAAAAAATAGATGCTAATCATAATATTCTTGTAGGCTTGCATGGTGACAATTGATAAGTACACCACATAATTGTAGGTACACCACATAAGTATATATTACTGCAAAGCTTTCGGTCCGTTAACGGTTAACCGTGTATTCAGGTATTTGACTGATGAAGGCCCGGGTTAATGGACCCAAAGCTTAACAGACCCAAGGCTTAACGAACCGAATGAAATATATATGATCAAACACATAGACACATCAATAAGGATTATATATGAGCAATCGGGAAATATTTCAAATGAGCCGGGTAGCAGTTTGATTAGCCTGTGCACAGACCTAGATATCTGGAAATAGTTTGGTGTACTCTTCGAATTTCAACAAATGAGTAGCAAGTGTTGCTAATATCAGACTGTTGCAATGATCCAAGTGGCTTTCTACTAAAACATTGACAACAGTCTTTATGCTATTATTGTCCAGAAATTGTTGAATTTTCCGTTTGGTCAAAAAGATAGTAAAATTCACTATAGCGACCAAGTTTACATGTTTAACTGAGTGGTGTTAATTGAACGTTACCTACTCAGCAATGCAAATCTACTGTTTCCACTTTTGTAACAATTAGCCTTTCTCACATGATCTATTGACTCTCATGGTCATGGTCTATTAAAATGCTTCTTATATTGCTATGATTGTTTAAACGCATTTGATAAAATTGAAAGTGCCCCAAAAATCGCAGATATTCGTCATCACGAGAAAGGCTAATTGGCTTCTTCTGGTAGGGTATAAAAAAGCTAATGAGGAGAACCTGTAATACCCAAGGTTGAATACTTGTATTGAGTCAATACTTGTATTGAATACAATTAAGAGAAATGGCCTTTGATTGATGTCTAACCATAGACACAGAAGCGTGCTTCTGTATTTTCTAAGTTAGCAAATTGACGCCACATTAGCTGTTCAAATCGCCAATTTATAAAGGCAAATTTAACTCGCTCTCCATGACTTTTTCTTAATATGCTTAATGTTATTTTAGCAAATTTGGAAGTTGGTGG